CGAGGATGATCTTGGACTTGAACTCCTTCTCAAAGCCTCAAGTTCTCTCTTAAGCCTCCTCCCCTCATGTGAGGGGTGAGGCTCTATTTATAGTGTTTTGAGTGCAATTAATGCAGGAATATGAACCATTTTGATCGGACGGCCCGGAGAGCTTCCCTTGATCATATAGCGTTTGATGGACATTTGAGTGTCTTAACGGTGTCGGAATTGAGCAATCTTGGGCTCGTTGGATTCGTCTTTTCGAGATGCTCGATTCAACTATAAACTCGCTAGAATCGGCATCCGTTTGACCTTTCAAATGCCTCCGAAAATCATGCAGTAGTGATTTAATCACTTGATATGGGCTTGATTTGACTCGGATTGGAATACCTTTAATATCATTAGGTCCGTCTTATTGAGTCGGTCAGTTTGACTATAAATTTGCTGAAATTGGAGCTCTGGATGGCTTTCTATCAAGATTTGAATATTCGTGCTTAAAATATTACCTCAAGATTCATGCTGATGATGAAAATTTGTTGATATCGTATCAAAATCACTAAATTGATTCACAGACAATACTCTTGCTACACATATTAGACTTATAATATAAATTAATTCACAAGACAAAATTGTTATATATAATGTATATTCATTTGCATATTAACAAGCTTATGTAAAGAAGCAATTTCCAGGGCTGGGGCGGGCTTAAATGGACCAATATTAGTATCTGTGTCTGGGCCTTATAACCTAAATCAATCTCAGCCTTTCAATTACAACTAAGATCGAGCGACACAAAAGCCGCGACATCATGCTCACCCTTCTCTTAAAAACCCCTCCAAAGCCCTAACCGTATATTCTGTAACCTTCTATCGTTTTAGCGGCTGCGCCGCTTCGATCAAATTCGACGCCGTAATTCTGAAATCTGCAGCGTTCTCGTATCTCCGAGCGGCACTAGCACTCAATTTTGTGCATCGGTTCTTTCTTGATTGCTCCCTATCGTGAAATCTCTACAACTCAACTGGTGAGCACGGATCCATCATCGCTTTCAGCGCTAGAAGCTGGAAAGTTTAAAGCCGGATCACTAGATTTCGTTGCCTGAATTATTTTCTGTGAGTTATATGCATGACTGTTCGCATTGTAATTCGTTTTTATGGTATTAGTTGCAGATGTTGGTGCTGTTCGAGACGCCGGCGGGCTTTGCCCTCTTCAAAGTATTGGATGAAGGGAAATTGTCCAGAGTAGAGGTGCTGAGACCTCATGATGTTCTTATTATTATTTTTATTTTCGGGCTGTTGCTCTAATCTCTAAATATTTTCTCTTGATTTTGATATCTTTTTTAGGATTTGTGGAAGGATTTTGCGAACTCTGAATCAGCTAGAAAGGTGATTTTACTTTTAGATTCGTTGAAAGCAGTCACATTTACTGACTCTTTCGCCCTAATGAATTTGTTAGCAACTAGAACTAAAAGTCTTCGTTTAACTTGGTAATTTCTAGTGATTCGATTTCTGTTTGATGTGATTCTGTTCGAACTTCATCAGGTTGTTCAGCTGAAAGCTTTCTCCAAGTTTGAGAACACAACAGAAGCACTGTCTGCAGCAACCCTTCTGATAGATAGCAAGCCAACCAAAATGCTTCGCAAGTTTTTGCGCTCTCATTGTGACGGCGAGACCCTTGGAGTTAGCGATTCCAAACTAGGAAATGCTATTAAAGAGAAACTGGTTTGACTCATCTTGTTTCATCTTGCTATTCATTGAGATTTAGTAATATTAGCATGGTTAATATTTAATAATTTGTTTCATATTTTTATTCATGCTAGAAAATTGAATGTGTCCACGACAATTCTGTGATGGAGCTGATGAGAGGATTAAGAAATCAGTTAACAGAGCTCATATCTGGACTTGGCGTGCAGGATCTTGCTCCAATGAGCTTGGGCTTGTCTCACAGCCTTTCTAGATACAAACTGAAGTTCAGCCCTGATAAGGTTATTAACATGTTATTGCTTAAATCCCCTTGCATTTTTCTGTATTTGAATTTAATTTTATTTACTTATAGTGTATTTCATCTTTTTATGTGAATTTTAATGTTGCATGAATCACTAATGTTGCCTTTATCAACCTATTAGATCTTGCAAGTTCTCATTTTTGCATGGAATTAACATAACCCCCAAAATATCATCTTTTTTTTGAAATCTAACACCAAATTACTTCTATTTACCTCAATACCGCCAATCTTTAAATAATCAAAATGAGCTATTCCTTCTTTTTGTGTTATGGATTATTAGTATTTCTTATCATCAATCTGACCAATCTCTTTCACTTTTTCAGGTTGATACAATGATTATTCAGGCAATAGGTTTGTTGGATGATCTTGACAAAGAGCTAAATACTTATGCCATGAGAGTACGTGAATGGTATGGTTGGCATTTCCCTGAGCTTGCTAGGATTGTGCAAGATAATATCCAATATGCTAAAGCAGTCAAGCTGATGGGAAACCGTGCTAATGCTGTAAACCTTGATTTTTCTGAGGTCAGTTTTCATGGCCTCTCACGCTTCAAATTCCGTGCTAATTGTTCATTCATGAGGAACCAGATTTGAACTCTTGATGAAACTATCCCTATCATGGATTGGGTTGTCCGAAAAACTTGACGTTTGTGAACTACACGTTCGATTTGTCCATTAAACAAGCATGTCAAACACAAACATTTTTTTTAGCTTGATTTATAAATGAGTCTAGCACATACGAACTTTTGAGTGGTATTTTTTTTGGCTAGTTTTTGCTTGAACTAACTAAATTGTTAAATAATTAATTATGATAATATTTATATATTAATTTTCTATGCTTTATTTTAAAAAATGTTGAACTTTTACTACTTTTTAAATCATTCAAGTTTTTTTTTTTAGTCGAACACGAGTTGAAACAAAAAACGAATTCGTATTGAGTCGAACACGAACATGCTATTCACCAGCCATTTCAAACACGAGCTTATTTCAAATTAAATAATTTCAGACGAGTCGAACCTAATCATGATATTATATTGACCACTCTCTTTCAATGGAGAAAATATTACATCCAGATTCCATAGGTATGACTGGAGTATTTTAAGTATTATTGGTATTATTGTGGTGTTATTTTATCATAATACTATCACAATACTACAAATAACACCTAAAATATTAAAATCCCACCTAATCCAGACGCAGCTCATCCAGATGTAATAATTTCTCCTTCGAATGAGCTTATTCAACATTTTGTTGGTTATAATGGCAACAGGTTTTACAAGAAGAAGTTGAGGCGGAGTTAAAAGAGGCAGCTGTCATATCCATGGGCACTGAAGTTAGTGATATTGACCTGGAAAATATAAGTGAACTATGTGATCAAGTTTTGTCTCTTTCAGAATATAGGAGCAAGTTGTATGACTACCTTAGAAGCAGAATGAATACCATCGCTCCAAATTTGACTGCTCTTGTTGGGGAACTTGTTGGAGCCCGCCTCATTGCTCATGGTGGCAGCTTATTAAATTTATCAAAGCAACCTGGGAGTACCATCCAGATTCTTGGTGCTGAGAAGGTCAATCCCATTAATTTATCCCTTCGACTTAATTTTTGCTATTATTTCTCAAACCGTGTTACTTATTTATATTTGTTCATTGCACATACTTGTATATATCTAATTTGAATTTTGAACTTATCCAATCCTTCTATTGCGCTACTTTTTATTTTTATTTTTGCAGTGTGAGTGTGTTCTTTATTTTGTGTAGTTTATGACTATTGGTTCTCCCTTAGTATGTGATAGTTTAGTTCTATGCTTCAATGCTATAATTTAGAGAACACAATTAATATAAGGAATTTCTTATAAAACCTTTGTGGGGAAGTGTTAAACACTCAAATGGTTATCTGGATTGGTGTTATATATGTGGATTTGTTCTTTCTTCCATCAATGTAAAAGTTTTTGGGTAGGGACTTATTTACTGGAAAATTTTTTCACTCAAGGGTTTTCATGGTTTGCTGGCATTTGTAATATTATTAGCCTATGTTTGCTGCTTGGTTCAGTGATTCTTTTAAATAATATTTTTATAAATGACATGCATGTTGACAATTGCAAAATCTGTTGTCTTCTTGATATTATTAGAAATATCTAATGTCTAAAATGACTCATAAAGAAATTTTAAAATCAACATTGATTTATTTGGATAACATTGCATTGTTAAATATGATAATATTGAACCCGACCCGTTATATTTGTTAGATATTGAATAATGTTGTTATCTGAATAATTTTGAACCAAAATGTTAAAAGATCTCGAAAATAGTAATTATTATATTTCATATTTGTTATAACTCTATATTTAGAGGGTTATAAATTATACGAGGGATCTTAAGAATTTCTATTTATTTCTCTTCTTAAATTAGAGAGATAAGATGCCTCTTATATTTTGTTATTATTCTTTTTTATTCTCTTTTTATTGTTTTTTTTACCAGTAAGTCTTGTAATGAGTATTTATAACCCTATTTTCATCAATAAAATCAAGTTATCTCATTTTTTTCATGGTATCAGAGCCATACCAATCTTCTTCGGTATGACGACTTCTTCTTCTTCCTCCCAAAAATATCCTCCACTTCATCTGCCTCTGTTCCAACCGAATCGATGACACTTCCTCCCTCATCACTGACTACAAACTCAACGACCAAAACTACCTCCGGTGGTCCCAATTTGTCATGATGTTTATCTGCGACAGAGGCTAGGACAACTATATCACTGGTGATGTCGTCTCTCCGACCAAGGATGACCTAAAATTCTGGACATGAAATGTAGAATTCCATGACCAACGACATCGGCGAAAATTTTTTTCTCTACGACACGACCAAGAGTAATTAGGATGTTGCTCGAGAGACATACTCTCACTCAGATAACACATCCAAGCTCTTCGAGATCGAGTCAATCCTCCACTATCATCGCCAAGGTGATCTATTTGTGACTCAATATTTTAATGCCCTCTCACGTTACTGGCAACAGGTTGACATGTAGGAAATCCATGTCTGGTCATGCACTCCGGACTCCAACTTATACCGTCAGATCATCGAGCAAAAGATGATATTCAAATTTCTTCTCGGCCTCAACAACTCTCCCGATCTTGTCCGCTCTCGTGTATTAAGCTTCAAACCACTACCAAGCATTCGCAAGACCTTCTCTGAGGTTCACCACGAAGAAAACGGCCAAAAAGTCATGCTTGGGCTTGTCTCCACCTAGCCCAATCTCTCTGTTGACGCTTCCGCCCTTGCAGCTCAGGTTCCTCCGCCTCGACACAACGACAACCCATCACACAAAGGCCATCCCTGGTGCGACCATTTCATCAAACCAGTTCATAATATAAACAAGAGTTAGGTGTTTCATGGAAAGCCAGTCGATTGAAAGCCTCGGTCTGATCGCACTCCCCGTGCCAACCTCGCCGTCGCAGCGCCGTCGCTGCCGATGACCTTTCTGCACCAGCGCCCAGTCCATTCAGCAAAGAGCAACTAAATTTGCCGCTCAAACTGATTGGCAAACCACCTGATCTGGCTGTTCCCGACCCCATCACCGACCTGCTCGCGCATTAAGGTATGTTCTATCATGCCTTCACAGTCAATCAAGGATCCCTCGGTCAATGGATCATCAATTCCGGCTCTTCTCATCACATGACTGGCGATGCATCCCTTCTCCATGACTATATGTCGTGGGGAGACAACTCCATCATCCGCGTTGCCAATGACTCTGTCACCCAAAACATTCTACTCCGATCTGTGCTCATGTTCCTACTTTAAATTGCAATTTAGTATCTATCGGAAAGTTGACTAGTGATATGAGGTGTATTACTAAATTTTTCCCTACCATATGTGAATTTCAGGGTGCAAACTCGGGGACGACGATTGATAATGCTAAGATGACATAGGTTTCTACGTCATCAACAGTACTTCACCACCACGACCTCGCTGCGAACATTTGTTCACCCATCATTTTGTCTTCAATTCTAGTGTTAATAAAGATTCTGAGATCATGTTATGACATTTTCGTCTCGGCCATCCAAATTTTGTATCTTTCAAAATTATTTTCAAATTTATTTATCAATAAAAATGTTCGTTCCTTTCAATGTGAATTTTGTCAATTTGTCAAATACACTCGCACGTCTTTTCCATGTGTTGGTTACACCCCTTCCCGACCCTTTGCACTCATTTACAGCGATATCTGTGGCTCATCCCGTGTTACAACCCTTACCGGGACTCGGTGGTTTGTCTTCTTTATTGATGATCACACTTGACTAATGTGACTATTTCTTATGAAAGATAATTCTACAGTCAGTCACATATTTAAACAATTTTACTCAATGATCCAAACACAATTCCAAACCTCTATCCAGGCACTCAAGACTGATAATGCAAAGGAGTACTTCGCTTCCGTCCTCGGCTTTTATCTCTCCTCTAAAGACATCCTCCATCTCAGTTCTTGTGTCGACACTTCTCAACAAAATGGGATCGCCAAACGCAAGAACCGCCACCTTCTCGAGGTGGCCCGCTGCCTCATGTTTTTCTCTAACGTGCCTAGGGTTTTTTGGGGTGACGCTGTATCCACTGCAACCTACCTCATTAACAGGATGCCTCCTCGGGTCCTCAAATTTCAAAGTCCAGTCTAACTCCTTAAATCATTTCCCCACACCAAGTCAATTACTCAAAATCTACCTACCAAAGTATTTGGTTGCACCTCCTTTGTTCACATTCATTCACACAATTACAACAAACTTGACCCCAAATCTACTAAATATATTTTCCTCGGCTACTCGCCTCTTCAAAAAGGGTATAAGTGCTACTCCTCTCACAAGAAAAACCTGCAACACTATGGATGTCCCCTTCTTTGAAAATCAGTCCTACTACCCCAATTCTAATATTCAGGGGGAGACTTTAAGGGAATATCAGTCTTGAGGGAACAACGAGTTCATACCACCACACATCAAATCCTTCTCTTGAACCAAACTCATTATATTTCGACTCAGATTCAGCAAGTTCATCCAACTCACATGAAAATGTACTTAACAATCAGTCTCCGTCTAGTCCTCAAGTGTCTAACTCGCACATAGATCACCCAACACATCCAACACCAATCCAAGAGTCAGAACCGGATCCAACTCCTATAGTAATCCACTCAAGTACGAACACAGTTGAGCATGAATCTAATATACCTATGATTGATGACTCCAACATTCCAATTGCTTAAGGAAAGGTGTTAGGTCCATCCGTCCTCCACTCAGGCACGAACACACGATGCATCTGATCTCCAACTTTGTGTCCTATGAAAGACTATCTTCAACTTACCGAACATATGTCACTGCATTCGACAATACAAAAGTCCCAAACATCATTGATGAAGCTCTCAAACACCCGGGGTGAAAAGCAGTCATCATTGAAGAGGTAAGAGCCCTACAAAAGAATGGTACGTGGACTGTTTCAGACCTGCCAAAGGGAAAGAAAACAATCCGCTGCAAATGGATCTTCAAAGTCAAATACAAGGCAGATGGTACAATTGAGAGATTCAAAACACGTCTCATAGCAAAAGGTATTTAACAATCATGCGGTATTGATTACCAAGAAACCTTTGCCCCAGTGACTAAACTTAACACCATTAGAATCCTTCTCTCACTTGCGATAAATGAAGACTAACAACTATATTAACTTGACGTAAAAAATGTTTTCCTAAATGATGATTTAGAAGTTTACATGGAAGCACCTCTCGGGCTAGAAGCATCCTTTCCAAACAACAAAGTCTACAAACTCCAAAAATCATTATACGGCTTTAAACAATCTCCCTGAGCATGGTTCGATAGATTTGCAAAATCAGCGACAAAACACAAGTATACTCAGTGTCAGACAGATCACATTCTCTTAGTGAAAACCTCTCCTGAAAAGAAGATTGCATTTCTAATAGTATACGTCGACGATATCATCCTCACTAGAAATCACGAAGAACTCACAAATCTGACAAAGCTTCTCACTCGGGAATATCAAAGACCTCGGAAACCCAAAGTTCTTTCTCGGCATGGAACTAGCTCGATCAAAGCGATGAATATTTGTGTCACAACAGAAATATACATTGGACCTGTTGAAGGAAACATGTATGCTCGGTTGCAAACCCGTCGATACTGCAATGGATCCCTACAAGAAAATCGGCACTGAGAAAAATAACTCAACTGTGGATAGGGGGAGATATCAGCAACTCGTGGGGCGACTCATCTATCTCTCACACACACGACTCGACAATTGTTTTTCTGTTAGTGTTGTTAGCCAATTCATGAACAACCCTACGGAAAAACACATGAATGCAGTCTACAAAATCTTGAGATACCTAAAGATGACTCCAGGCAAAACGCTATTGTTTCAAAGGAATAAGGATCAAAGTATAGAAGTGTATTCAGATGCAGACTGGACAGGGGATGTCTCGGACCGACTATCGACTTCCGACTATTGCACTTATGTCTGAGGAAATCTAGTCACTTGGAGAAGCAGAAAACAATCTGTGGTATCAAGAAGCAGCGCTGAAGCTAAATTCAGAGCTCTTGCACTCGGGATCTGCAAAGGAATGTGGATTCGAAGAATACTCAATGAAATCAGAATGTTAATTGAAAAAACTGTCAAACTACAATGCGGCAACCAAACAGCCATCAACATTGTAAAAAATCCAGCACACCATGACAGAACGAAACACATCGAGATTGATCGACACTCCATCTCAGAAAACATTGAGAGAGGAGTCGTCGAACTTGCATACATTCCTTCCCAACATCAAACAACAGATATTCTCACTAAGCCGCTCCCAAGAATCAATTTTGAAGAATTATGTAACAAGTTAGGTATGTACAATCTGTACAACCCAACTTGAGGGGGAGTGTTGAAAGATCTCGAAAATACTAATCATTATATTTCATATTTGTTATAGCTCTATATTTAGAGAGTTGTAAATTATATGAGGGATATTGAGACTATTTATTTATTTCTCTCATTAAATTAGATAGATTAGCTGCATCTTATATTTTGTTATTATTCCTTTTCTTTCTTACTGTATTTTGTTTTTATTGTTTTCCTTACCAGTAAGTCTTGTAATAGATATTTATACCTCTCTTTTCATCAATAAAATCAAGTGCTCTCATATCTTTTCACAAAAATACCCCTTAATTGGCAAGGTAAGTTTGAAATTTCTGATCCCTTGTCATTCCCACTTATTATGATTGGTTCAAATATATCTATGAATTATTATCTGTAAGGGCAATAGAATGAGTTTTGTTTGTTCTAAAGTACTGATTTCTCTACGTCATCAAATTTATATATGTCCTCTCTTTCTAAAACGATAATCTCGATCACTGCATCTGCAGGCCTTGTTCAGTGCTCTGAAAACAAAACATGCAACACCCAAATATGGGCTCATCTTCCATGCATCATTAGTAGGTCAAGCAGCTCCAAAACTGAAGGGCAAAATCTCTCGCTCTCTCGCTGCGAAGGCTGCACTTGCCATCCGGTATGATGCCTTGGCCGATAACCAAGATAATTCAATGGGACTGGAGAACCGAGCAAAGGTAGACAATCAAAATTTTTATGTTTGTATTTTCTTACTGTTGCACCCTTACTGATTTACTGTCTTAAATTTTGCTTAAAAGCTTGAAACCCGGCTAAGGGTTCTTGAGGGAAGAGAACTGGGCCATTCGGCTGGGTCCATAAGAGGCAAGCCTAAGATTGAGGTTTATGATAAAGACAGAAAGAAGGGTGCTGGAGCGTTGATCACTCCTGCAAAGGTATTGATTTCAAAAATTGCAATGCTGGAATTGTTATATTTGGGATGAGGCTAATGAGGATTATAATATCTTGTTTTATGTTTTGTAGACTTATAATCCATCATCTGATGTGGTTCTTTGGCGTGCTGAGGAATCGAAACCAGAGAAGCCAATAAATGTGCAGGGAGAAAACCATCCTAAGAAGATAAAGCTTGAGGAGGTGGAGCCAGCAGGCCCAACACAGACTGAAGAGGTGGGAGTAGGTGTAGGGGACGGTAATGAGGAAAGTGATAAGAGAAAGAAGAAAAGGAAGAAGGCTGAGGCAAATAATACTGATGTGCAAAATGCGAATTATAGTGCTAGGGTAGTAAAGGAGGAGGAGGAGCATCAGCAGCAGCAGCAGAAGAAGAAGAAGAAGAAGAAGAAGACAATAGCTGACGACTATGAGGTGCAAAATGTGAATGATGATGATGCTAAGGTAGTGGAAGAGAAGCAGAAGGAAAAGAAGAAGATGATAGACGAGAAGTATGAGGTGAAAAAGGAGGATGAAGGTGCTGAAGTACAAGAAGATCAGGAGAAAAAGAAGAGGAAGAAGAAGAAATTAGAAGCTGAGGTGGTGACTAAGGATCCGAAAGTTGAAGATGGTGCTGAGGAATTCATTGTTAAAAAAAAAAAGGTAAAAAAGCACTCAGAAGGAGATGTTGAAGCTAACCACGAAGCCAATGAGCAAGGAGAAACTGGTAAGTCCAGCAATAAAAAGGATAAGAAGAAGAAAGAAAAACCGCTCCACTGAATGTTACGGTGAAAATTTTTGTGCAATTTTGTTTTGTTCACGTTAGAGGAGTGTAGCGTATTGCCGTCACAATTATGTTTAGTTTTAATTGTTTGTATTTATGTAAAACAAAAAGCTAACCCCCTTGGGCTCTATTTATGGTTTGCTTATGAATTTGCTCTTAGTTTCTTTTAGTTTTAAGATTTATCGTTAGTTTGAATTTTGCGTGTTAATTCTTATATATATATATATATATTCTCAAATTGTTGTTAGGGAGATTTTAGCTAAATTCATTGTCAGCAGGGTGTATTTGAACCATACCCTTGCAAGGTTTAGGTTCATGTTTGAATCTTGTTCTATTTATGTTCCAACAAGGTTTAAATAAGATTCAAATATTGATTATAACACACAAAAGTGGTGCAATTACAAGCACCATAACATGATATTTTATGACAATCATGATATAAGTGGGTGCATTTCAAGAGAGATGATGTAAACATTATAATTTAAGAGGTATAATATAACATGCAACAATTATAACACAACATATGCAAATTCATATGTAATTTGCATTGCATGAAAAAAAAATGCGCACATTCAGCAAAATCTCCAATCAAATGCTTTTATTCCTCTGCAACATTTTCTTACTCTCTATTTGCATTATTATTTTGTACAAATAAAAGACAACATTTCATATCAATGCTCCTTCTAGTCAATTCAAGATGTGGCAAAAAAGGTCGTTCCAGAGGTTCCAATGGCGGACTTTTCAGGTAGGAGTTAAAATGTACTGCTGGGGGAAGGGTAGATGAATGGAATGGAACAATCCATCTTTTATTCTTGTTTGAGATTTGGGGTGTAATATTAGAAGTGCATTGCATCCTAATGTAGGGATTTTGAAAATTCAACTCTTTGCAACAGAATTTATATATATATATATATATATATATATATACATATATAGCTAAGTGTAAAATGTGGCCATCACCAACTACTGCCGTCGTGGTCATTGGCTGCTGGCCGGCGG